GCGGGGCAGCGGGGGGAGGAAGCAGCGCTGGCCGCTGGCTCTGAACCCTGGCGCCTCTCGTGCTACCTAATAGAGCCAGGTGGGCGGGTTCGCTTAGAGGGCAGCTGTAGAGAAGGGATCAGCGTATTGTCAGCTGGGGAGGAGGAACCAGCCCTCGGCAGGGGCGAATCCCAGGCAGTCAAGTTCAACGCCTCTCGCACGCCCCCTTCTCTCCTGGGGGCCAACCGCTCCGGACCGATCCGGTGCGCTCCTCTTGGCCCTGCTGGGCTTCTCGCCGTTCATTTAATTGGAATAACACCAGGGATACGTTTGGCCCTAAGTTTCCATAGTTTTATGTGCTTCCAAGGCCACTCCCCCGGATGCAGAGAGAGATCATTTCTCTCTCTCTCGAATTGTAAAACATCTTACTGTCGGTGGATAACAAGGCTGGAGATCTCGTTGATGTAACTGAGCATGTCTGTTTCAGGCACAGAGCCATTTTCACTCCTTTACTTTTGATCATCAAATTGCACCAAAGTGTTAACTAGACCAAAGATTCCCAACCTGTGGTCTGCAGAAGTCTGAGGCTTCCTAGGCTACCTCTAAGATTTCCAAAGGGGGCTGTGCTTCCATTCAAAAATGTTTAGGAGTTTGCAAATAAAGGTTCCTTTTTAGGGCACTGTGTATTTCTAAAGGAAATCTTATCAGTTTCCAAGTAGCCCCTTTACCCCACCCTCCCATGATTTCCAAATAGGAGTAGCCCCTTTACCTAGAGCTAACTCAGAATGCTTACCCTGACTTTCTTGGATAAATAGTGAAAATTACAGCTCTATATAAGCCATCAAATTGGGGAAAAGAGGAAAGTATGGGTTTATAAGTAGAAAATAGGTCGGAGTAATAAAACATTCACTCATTTTGTGAGATGCAGTGTAAGAGCAATACTTTGTTGTTAAACAGTCTTTTCTTAGCCATTCTGTAACTAAGCCTACCAGAATTTCTACTGTTAACACTATGTATATGTTTATGCAAGGGAGGGATAATTAAGGATGGGATGGGTGTATAACTGAGCTGTAAATCTTTTGCTTGGAGTCAAAATACTGAAGTAAGATATTTTGGCCCATGTGGGTGGGGGTTGTGTGAGCTTCCCCCCTTTTTTTTTCTTTGCAAGTGCAGCAATACATTTCTTAAACATTTTTATCAATAGAAGCAACCGGTGCACATCTTTTGTGTTGGATTTTGGAGGGGCTTATTCTTTGGAGCATTACTGTAGATGCCATCAAATGAAAATTCTATAAAATATGAATGAATATATTCTGCGAGCATATGATACAGTGCCTGATATTGTTTAAATGAATACATCCTGTAGTATAGTTAAATCCTGGTTGACAGCAATAAGAGTTCTGCTTGAATAAGGATGGCAGAATTTGGCCCATATTCTTGGGGAGTGAATGCTGCTCTTCTTGTTCATGTATTTTCAGGCTGAAATTAGTGGAATTATTCGAGCAATCAATTTGTCTTAGTGAGGCTACGTCTACATTGCCAGTTTTTGCAGCAGAAAATATGCTAATGAGGGACTAATTTGCTTGAGTTGCAAGATCATTTGCATATTTTCTGCAGATCCGTGTTTGTGCTAGGGGTTTTTGTGGAAAAACAAGCAGGCTACGTCTACGCTACAAAGTTTTTGTGCAAAAACCCGGGGAGCATCCACACCTCGAGAGTTTTTGCTCAAGGAAATTGACAGCAAAACTGCAGAACAGAAGGCTTTTTGCAGTGTACGTATACCTCCTTCTCTGAGGCATAACTCCTTTTTGCGCAGCAGCTCTTGTGCAAAAAGGCATGAGTGAACGCTCTTCAGGGTTTCCTGTGCCCCAGTTTTTGCAGCAGAAAAGCACAGATGCTCTCATGGCCATTCTGTGAATGGCCATCAGCTTTCTTGCACAAGAACATCCATACAGTGTGGTTGTATCGCAAAAGCGATGCACTTTGAGGTGTGGACATGCTTTTGCACGAGAAGTTTTTGCACAGAACTCTTTTGCAAAAGACTTCTTGTGCAAAAACCCTGCAGTGTAGACATAGCCACACTGGACATTTCCTTTTTTGTGCAAAAACCCTAGTAAAAAAATGGAGCGGCAGAAAATATGCAGATTAGAATATTTTCTGCTGCAAAAACTCATAGTGTAGATGTAGCCCCACACTGCTTGTTTTTGCGCAAAAACCCCTAGCGCAAAATGGCTCCGCAGAAAATATGCAAATGAGATCACGACTCAGTCCCTCATTAGCATATTTTCTGCCACAAAAACTGGCTGTGTAGACATAGCCTGAGTGTTTGGCTTCAGTGTGTTAGCAGAGTGAGCTCAGCCCTTTGGCCCTCAAGATTGAATTTTTATTTTCAAAGTTCTAAATATTCAATGTAAATCAATATTTGATTACAGGTTAGTAAGTGAATATTATTTAACTCCCACCCTACAATATCGTATGCTGTAAAGGTGAAATTCTCATCACCCAGAGTACATGAGTTTGGGTGCATGTGAAATGCAGTACAATGAGCAGTTTAAATTCACCCTCCCCAGTTTAGGGTTAAGGGAACAAGATTGCATTCTTCCTCCTAGCCACGATATTGGCTAGGGGCCACAACTTCTCAGTGTCACTTGGGCTGTTTCCTGGGGCTACTGGATCTTTTGCTCCACCCCTTTCTATACCCTCTATGGTGACCTGTACATGATTGTTGCATAGGTTCCTGTGGCATATAGGAGATGTAGAGTCAGGCCTGAGAGTAGGGATGTTAAATTTAGTTTAATCAACTAGTTGATGTAATTTCCATTGGCTAGTTGATAAGCGGGGAAACCTCAGCAGGGTTAGCTCCCAGCCCCAGGAGCTAACCCTGCTGCAGCTCTGCCTTTTAAATATATTAAGAGCTGGCAATGATGGGGACCTGGTGCTAGCAGGAGTAGCTGATTACCAGCTTGTGCTGGTCAGTTTCAGCAGCTGCTGAATCGGGGTGCCTGGGGCAGAGCAGCTGGGGTGCTGCCAGGTTGGTCCCGTAGCACTGCCCCTTGGCGCTGCGGGACCAACCCAGCAGCACCCCAACTGCTCTGTCCTAGGCGTCCCCGATTCAGCTGCTGGTCAGTTTCAGCAGCGGCTGAATCGGGGAAGCCGGGCGCAGAGCAGCTCCGATTGTCCGGCTGCACGGAGCACTTCCGGGTTCCCGATGGTGCCGGACCAATGAAGTTTTACTGTAATCACTTATTTCCAGAAGCTCAGATTTTTAAGTAAAACATCAAATTGTGTAAGTTGGCAACACAGAAGTACTTGGCAAACTGGTGGGTATAAATCTGTAGAGATCTGCATCTGTGTCTGAAAAATGAGCTGTAGATTAAGGATGTTAAGGACTAGTTGAATATCAGATAAGCAAATGCTTATCGGATAGTTGAGTCGATTAGTCAGTTCCCCCTCCCCCTTTATTAGATAGCAAAGGTGGGGTGGGGAGAAGAGAGGGTACTTCAAAGCAGCAGGGGACTTCCCGCTGGCCGTAGACTGCATGTGGAATTCGGCGTTCCTCCTTGGAAATGTACAAGTGCCTATCGACTAGCTGAGTAGTCGATGGAAATTCCATTGACTACTCGACTAGTAAATTACTCATTACTTAACATACTTAGTGTAGATATCTGCATTGACATCTGCAAATAACTCCAGTTTTGCAGGGTTCTATACATCTACCTTGCACTAGACTGCTATACGCTCAGTGTGTCTACATGGCAATGTAAGTCTGGGGTTACTGGGAGTCAAATCAGCTGACCCATGGCAGGGAATCCTAAACTTGAGCATCCACACTGCATTTTAACTCTAAATTAAGAGTTTTTTGATCTATGCTTGAACTAGTTCTCTGATGTTTATCTATACTGCAGTGCACAGATCTGAGTCTAAGTAAATGTATTTCAAAATGCCTCAGGCAGTCCCGTCCCTCATGCACCTAGAATGTGGAGCAGTGTGGGAAAACTGTACTGTCCACCTTCTTTCCTACCTGTGGCAGTGCCATTGATGGGATTCAGGTGCCATAAGCAGGAATACATAAACTGCATAATTAGCTTTTTTGGTGACTCTCTCCTTCAGAATAAGCCTTCTTAAACTATAGTCATTCTAAACAACCATCTAATGTGGGAATTGGGGTCTATGGATCACAGCAGCAGGAAAATATTTGTGTGCTCCTGTTCTGGAGAAATTAGGATGTTAGGCTTCAGGGCTGTCAAACTATTACAATGAAACTTTGTATTTCTTAATATTTAATACAGGATGTTCAGTGAAGGTGTTTGGTTTTATTTATTTATTTATTTTTGGTCTATTTGTTTTGCAGTTTGACATTAAAATGAAGGTATCAGAGAAAAAATTCACACATACACTCCAGCCTCTGGCTGCAAAGCAAGGAAGCATATACTCAGGGCTTGGGTGTAGTATGCTGCAACACTCCTCCCCCCAGGATTCCTTATTGGTGCACCCCAGAAAGCAGGGATAAGTGATCCCCAGGAAGCCGCAGAGAAGTTTTGAGGCTAGGCCCCACTCACTGCCCTGATGCACACACAACCCAAATGCTCCTAGAGAGGGGGAGAGAGAGTGTGTGTGTGGAGGGGAAGCAGAGAGGAGTAGGGT